TTAGAGGCAGTTCAACTTTTACTATTTTTTTTCCAGTTTATGAATGTCTGAGAATTAAATGATTCAAGTTTATTATCAAAAAATGGCACTAGGATTTTAATATCATTTGATGTTAAATAATTAAGTTAGAAAACAAATGCTAATATCATAAACCATCATATGCACGATATGCAATATATAGTTACATTCAATAATAAATATCTTATGGAATTCATACAACTGAAGCCCACACAAGAATAAGGAAGCTGCCAAAATAGTATCTATCCAGTTGGCTTAGTCAGCAAGAAACCAACTGGTCCACAGATGCTCTTTTTTCTATGAGAAAATATCTTCTTTTGCAAGTCTCTTGTCTGCAAAATGTTTCATATGAACTCTTCTCCTCCTGCAGGCTGTAAATAATTTATTGATCAAACCTTTTTATTTGTAGCAGATGGAAAATTCAGTACAAATTTAAAAACAAAAAAGGGGAAGATTAGAAGCTGAGGTGAATAATTGCATTATAGTGTGCTAACTTGCAAAAAATGCCTTAAGGCAAGGGAATCAACGGACACCCAGATGGATTTGGAGGCCTTTTCTCTGGCACAGACAAGAACTGGAAAAGAAGTTGTTTTGAGAATTGAGAGTTGAGAGTGCTTGTTCATCATATGTAACGATATGAACAGAAATAATGAGGTTATGACAAGATGTTCACCTGTAACCAGCATTCCCTTTCTATCCACTTCCACTGTCCTTTATTCATGCAGCTGCCTAGCTGAGGTCCAGCCAATGCCACTGTAAGATAGAGTAGGTGCTCTATTTCTGCAGCATGTGTCCTTTTTTTCCCTCTGTTATTACATTTGCACAGAAACACATATATATTTTGGCAAGAAAATGATAAGACATCAAAACAAACAAAAAAACCCCCCAAAAAAACCTGTTATGGTTCCAATTACTTTTCTTTCAGAACATGCAGACTTTTGATACCTTAGGTTTAGCAAACTTCACCAACTGTTGTTAATTGACTATAGAATATAATTTGCATTCCTGCACTTTGTATTTTACATAAGGTCACAGAGGGAACAAAGACCCTATTCCTGTATGTATTAAGAGAATGGCACTCAAAATGTTTTTTGTCACTTCCAAAGAAACAGTGATACCATTTGAATAATGGGGAAAAGTCTCATAATATGTCAAATAACATAGTTGGTTCTGTAGCAACAAGAAAGTTTTGTTTTGATTATACATTTCTATTTATAACATATCATTTACCATTAGATAACTATGTATGTACATGTGATGATGGTGTGACAACAGCTCTTCCTGTAATGCAGTGACACAGAGCAAATAAGCTGAATTTTATTCAATTAGAGTTTAAAGCATATCAGAGCAAACACATATAAAGTAATTTTTGAGCTCCATAGTGCTGTGATTTAACATTCATTTGAATAGTATTATATAAAAACACCATCAGATAATGGATCTATTTCTGATAGGGTGATAATATAATAGTAAATAGCAAAGATGTGACAGGACAGTAGCATACAGGGGAGGAAAGAAGAATTACACTAATATCATTAATAGGAAGAAGTGAGAAGTGTTTGGCTAAGAATTACTGCAAGAACTCTTTCTTTTGAGAGTTATCTGGACTGAACTGTGTTGGATCCTGGAAGCTGGCCTGATCTTTATTGATGAAATACTGCTGACTGATTGAGTGTAAACCAAGCAGGGGAGGGCATGTTAGTTGTTCTGTTTTCTGTGAATGTCTAAATGTTCCTGTTGCTGTAATCTTCATATAAATTAAGAAAAGGAGAATTTTGCCATCACTTTCAGAACACTGCTTTGTGCAAGCCAATGTGCCTTTGTAATTGAAGCCATGTGTCAGGGTTGTATTACAAATTTTTCTTACACTGAGGGATGCACCTGCTATCTGGAGTTTGGCTCTTAAAATGTGTTTTGGTAGAGAATAATATCAAGTATAAAGGTGATGTAATTACGATAGGATTATTGTTTTAAAAGTTAATTGAAAACATTGCATAGACAACACAAAGTTATCTCCAAGACAAAAATTTCACGTTCCTTACCATTTAAAAAAAAAAAAAATCTCAGACCAATGAGATCAGATGTTCCTATGCATCCAGCTGCTCCCCACCCTGACTTGCCTATTTTATACTTCCCAGTAGGCATTTAAAATCTGTAGCATCACTGTTGAGTTTATTGCACTATTAACTTAAAAACTGCATCAACTCTTGTGTGGTATTTAAGTAGAAAATTTACTGTGGATGGGCTATTGTTGCAGGAAAAGAGTACTATTCTCTGCTAAAATTCTAGGAGATATAAGTGAATCTCATTTATTTTTTGTAAAGAAATTATTAATTATTTTTTTCCATTCACAAGATATTTACATGGCTTCCACCCATAACTGGCCTCCCCAATCAATTGAAAAATAAAGGAATTAACACTGAACATACAATATTTTGAGCATAACTGGGCATTTAGACAGAGTCATATAAATAAAAGTTGCTGGGTTAAGAATGAGAAAATATTGTTACAGCTGTAGAGGCACATACTTGCAAGTATTTCAGCAGGAATATACCTAGTACCAAATTCAACACATTTTGTTGACTTAGTTTAGTTTAATTTAATGCTTTTGCCTTATTTTAGTTTTACTACTTTGTTACTGTATTAGAGAACATCTACTAATATACTTCTGCACAATTTCATTCACAGTGTGGTCTTAATTAGGACTATTAAGACACAGAAATCAGAAAAATTAATGGAAAAGGAATATTCCTATGAGAAGTAGTTTTGATGTACAGTCTCTTATGGAGTACACGTGTGATGTTTTCTAAATACATGGTCAGCCATGCTAGATAAACAGAAGAAAGATACATGGAAATATGCCATATTCCATAACCCATATTTTTATTTGGCATTTGAAATCTGTTCGAATGACAACAGGGAATGAAACCCTGGCTTTCTGCAGAAGCTGACTCCAAAAATGGCAGCAGACAAGGAAAGATAAAATTATCAGCTTTGAGAACCAAACTAAAAAACTTTTCATCTAAAATATTCTATAGTGTTAAGTTTCACACACTCATCAATGAATGCAGCAAGATTTAAAAATTTATTACTTTTTTCTGATATGATCCAAAGAAATGCTGATTTATTCAAGCACAATAGATGTTTTTTCACCTGTAACAGCAGAAAAAATATAAGGAAGAGCAAAGCCCATGTAACAAGATCATGCAGCATCAGCAGTACATGTAGAAATACTCTTGATGAAACAATAGCTTTGGTGTTCTTTTCCATTTCCATAATCTTCCAGCAGCGTTCCTGGGATAATCATGATAGTCTAATCTTTGTCCTCTGCAGGTACAATATCTGCCTTTCAAAGTCTCCCACTAATCTATGTTGTGACGCAAAGGGCACAACACAGTCCTGCAGTGCCACCCTGAATAATTATTTGTTTGGAATTTCTTTTTGTACTCAAGGGGAGTGCCAGGCTTTGAAGTCTCATAAAGTTTTGTATTTATTTTATGTTTTCAAGAGTGATCACAGGCTTGGCCAGGTGCCCTGAGAAAACAGGTTTCTGGAGCAACACCCAAGTAGTTGCACTTTAAACCTGAGCTAGTACAGCTTTACAGAAATAAATACCTGTGTTGCATAACACTGGAAAGGTATTTCAGGGATTTTTTCCTTTTATGAACAGATATGACAAGCCTTTAAAGGTCATTATTAATTTTTCCAGAGTCCAAGATGGAATGTCCTTCAGCCTTCTTTCATTCTCTCTTCACTTTCTGATGGCTTTTATAACACTTCTTTAGAAACAGCCTAGTAAATATATTTAACTACAGTAAGTAGTGTGGAAAATGAATGTTGCCCTGGTTAAACAGAACATTCACACAGAATAGTTTTGGGAATTGGAACTCTTGACCTGTTGAACTTATGGCAGGTAAACATTACTAGTTATTATTAGTGTGGGTGTGATTTATTGTTCATCACCATCACAGCTAACAGAGCTACCTCCAGGATAAGGTACTGTACAATCACGCCATCCCTGCACAAGGTATAAGCATTGGGTATGATATACTTTCTATGAGACCCTCTGAACTTGGTGTTGAGGATGTGAGTCATGTGATATTCTGCTTCAGAATGTCCCCTGAAGTGGTCACTTCACCTCTGGATCCTGCAGACAACGCTCTGTGAGATCCCAGCACTATAACAGTAATAGTGACCTCATGGCTCATGCTGCACTTCCCTTTCTGCAGAGACAAGCCATATTGTGTGTGGGGAAATGTGTGCATGTGTCCTGCTTAGAGATGGGCAAAATACTGGTATCAAGCAGCACTAGGCACTAAAAGTTTCCTCAGTACCAACATCAGCTGTCAGTAGTGCACAGGCATTTCCAGTTCAACACTGATGCCCTCCGCTGCCCTGTTCAACCTGCTGCAGGTGGACTTGTTGTAACCCTGCCTTCATGTACTCCTCCAATTCCTGGTCACATACCTGCTAGTATTTTTCCTTTCTCAGCAAAACATTGGTGAATTTGCAGAGCTTAATCTGAGACTGCAGGAAGGCACTAATGGAAGCCTTTTGTCTGGGCCAAAATCTCTTTGGTCCAAAATCACTTTGGTCCAGCTGACTCCTGCAGAGATAACATTACCAAGGTAATGGGGTAAGTGTAGGAGAGAATACTGCCCCACCTTACACAAAATCCCCTGAATTTCTCATTTCTAAAACTTTAATAGAAACATGATGGTACTATAATTCTGTTATTTTTGGCATCTGCCTCATGTAAGATTTCACATTATTGCCACCAGAAACTTCCCCTCCTTGTTGTATATTCTGGGTCAGCAGTGGACCATGCAGGCACAACCCAGCAGCAAACAACTGCTTTCATATCAATAGCAACAGGCTACAGCTAAGCTCTAAGTAACATTTAGCTGAAATCTGAACTAGACTTGAATCCTAAATTCTGGTCTTCCAAACTAGAAACTGAAAAAAAAANCAAAAAGGAAAAATGCAATTCAGAAAATATTTTATTGAGTACAATACCATTTCATTGTAGGCTTTATAAAACACCACCAACCTCTCTGAGGTTGAATACAGCTTGGGCAGGTGCACAAGGAGTGGGAGAGAGAGGGACAGCATCTGCAAAATTTCATGCAAGAGGCATAATATGGGATATCTGCATCTAGACAATACCTTGTCATAGTGCCCAAGTTTGCACTAGGTCAGCAGAAAAAAATGAATCAATCTACATTTAAGTTTTATAAAGGATTGTAACAATCAGCTACAAGTTCAAATTTATTGGGTGTTGCCATTGCACATTCAACAACTAAACTCAAGATCATGAAATAAAAATCAGTAGCTTGGATTGAAACTACTGTAAGAAGCCTTGTGTGGAAACTGGATTAACTCTAACTCCAGAAACTGATGGTTAACAAAACATCATAACCACTGCAGATAAGGACAGCTGCCGTCTTTATCAATGTACTAACTTCCATTTTTAGCAGCTGGAAAACAAGGCAAGTTCCTGGAATTTGGGTTAATCCCACAACACACATCAAATCAAGACCTGGCATCACGGTTGTTGGAAGGAAATTAAACTAACAGTAGTCGATAAGAAATTTTCAGTTGCATGAAGCAACTGAAAACACAGAAAGCAGCCTTAAGTAGCGGAGAAATGTGGTAATATTTATATTAATGAAGTTGCTGCTTACTGGAATGTAGACCAACTAATTTTTCTGGTGTGTTTATTTTCAGTGATAGTAAAGCGTAAATGTGCTATGAAATGTAGGAACAGTAAAAAGCAGCCTTGAATAAGTCTCTATATTGCTTAAATTCTCGCAACCATACCTCGTTATGAAGTATGCATACACTCAGAGACTGGAAATTTTCAGCTTGACCATATTTCTACAGCTACCTGTATTTTATGAGCTGGGCCCCACAGAATCTTTAAAAATCTGCCAGGAAACCTGCACTGTACTGCCAAAGAATTGAGGAGCACTTGTTATAACAGTGAATATGAATGTTAAGTACAGCAGTTAATATACCAAATGACACAGATACTTCCATTGTCCTTTGGGTGTGTGTTTCCCAACATGTGTTAAGTACCACCACTTGACAGGAAATAATTTCATAAAGCAGGATTGAACAATTTGTAAACTGCAAGAGTATTTTCAAATGGAAAAGAAATTATTAATTCAAGCTTTAAACTAAGAAAACTGGAAGGATAAAATTTAACATATTCATTAGCAATTAGAGAAAATAGTCCAGGAAGGCCAAAGTATTCAAATAATTCAGAAATGTTTGGTCGAAATGAATTTCTTATTTATTAAGAAGACAACACATTCTCAAGAGAGCACCTTCTGCAATGAAATAATTTAGTTTCTTCATATAGACACATCATACACAATGTTAACAACCATGAAAAACAATACAAAATGCTTTCAAATTTAACAAGTAGAAAAATATAACTAGTATATATGGCAATTGTGAATCTAATACTGTACAGAAGTATTTATGGATTTTACAAATAAATAATAGCTTAAATGCCCTTTTAAAATCTTCTAACTGTACACTGGAACTTAGGTTCTGAAGCTTACCACTAACTTGCCACAAATGTGTGCCAGTCAAATGTTCTGCCCACAAGCTCAAAAAACTTCTTGTTGGGTTCATGGAAATGTTCCTGCAGTTTCTCGAGTAACCGGCTATCTACTTGTGGGTGCGCTCGTCCTTTGGACTCATGTAAACAGCGCTCTCTGCCACTGTCCCTCAGGCAATAGAATCCCTTAGTTTTATTGAAATAAAAGTTTGAAGCATTTATCTGTGGTGATAGCTTCAGAAATCTCTCCACCTTTTCTATTTCTGGAAAGGGATCTTTGATTAGTTTATCCCCATCTACAATGTGAATATGATCAAGAGGAAAATACTTCAGCCAGTTCTGCATGTGAATGTAATATAAGCTTCTGTTTATTGCCTTGTAGTCCACATTGAGTTCACCATTTTTTATCAGGAATTGCTCAATGGATGGGTACGGCTTGTGCTTCTGCATGTGGTTGTAGAACACTTGGGTATAATCTGATAGTACTCTTTCGCTTGGGTCTCTTAAAATAAGGAGTAGTCTCATGGATTGGTTCATGTTATAAACTCTTTCAGGCACTTTAGGTGATGTGAAATATGCTGGAGTTTTTTCCACGGTGATCTGATGGGGATACGAGAATGGCATTTGATTAATATACCACTGCAATCCATTCCTGTAATGATCTTCCCAGTCAAAGAAGTGAACTTCATTTTCTGCTGCTGCAATATCTGGATGGAGACTCAACATCTCTAACAAAGCTCTTGTTCCACCTTTTCTCACTCCAATAATAATAGTCTGTGGCAGCTGCTGACATGATCCATTAGAATGAATGTTTTCCTTGAAGTCATTTTTCTGAGACGTTTTCTTTAAAAGCTCTCTCTGAACAGACTGAGAAGAAGTCTCAGCATTTGAATTTATAGCTGGTCTGGAAGGCACTATCTGAGGTTGAACAATAAGCAACACAGCTCCCAGCAGAAAAGCTGCCATGACAGAAGTTCTTAGTCTGCTTTCACTCAAGCGGGTAATAGGGCATAGAGCGATTTCCACCAAGAACAACCCTTAAAAGTGGTTTTTGTTTTGCTGAGCGGATGTGTATTTCTCAAGCAAAAACTTCGCTGAAAGAGGGAAAAGAAAAAGCACATTATCTTATATTCAGCCACACTGCAAATATAATTTTATTTTCAAAACAGAACAAACTTTATCTTTCCCAACTCCAGGCTCATAGATAATTTATTGCAATTAAATATTTTAAAAGACAGACATATGCAACAATGCCATAAAAAAAAACTTATTTCCAGTGATCAGGAGACATGAATACTATAAATCTTTCATTTGCACGTGGAGTATTATTAGTTATTTTTTTAAAAATCTGATTTCCTTGGAGTTGAACTATAATACAAGACAATGGATTTTTTAATCAACAAGAACAGGTTTGTCTTAGAAACAAAACATGAAAAGGTGTAGAAGGGATCAGAAGAGCATGCCTAAATGCTGAGGGTCTTGTAGGATGTCTGGGAATTACAGCCTCTCAAAGAACTATGTAACAGCAACCTTAGAAATCAAGCCTCCACGGAAAAAGGCTCATGCAATGTAGATAGAGCTGTCCAGCATGAGAAGACAACATTCTCCTAGGAACAAATTAGGAAGAGCTCTAGGTAAATAGCACATCAATTTGTGTGTGAATTTTGTGTCATTTTTAGAGTGAAGCTAACTTTTGCTTTGTGCTTACTGTTTCTAAGGATAAAATAGGTGGCTTGCATGCTGGCCCTGCAAAGAGGTAAGATAATGAAACCACAGACTATAGTATGACTGAATCAACAAAACACTAGAAGATCTGTGGCTCCCGTCTCCATACTCAGGAAAGAAAATACACAATGGGCACTTCTGAAGGTCATTTCAAGAGTTAGCCAGCAAGCTGTTGTGATGTGAAGAACTAAGTTTAGGCTTTATGAAAAGACTACTAAATACCACCACTGAACACCCTTTAAAGGTCAGGGCATTTTTAATGCAATGTTTGAAGCGAAATTGTAATGGTTTCATATGTAGTAGAGCTATTAGATTGTTGCAGTATGAGCAGGCTGTGCACACAGACTCCCTGAATTACAATGTCTTCCAAAGACTTTACACCCTCAGTGAAGGGCTGGTGTAGATTTCAGTACTGTCTGACTCCACTCAGAAGTAGAAGCCATGACAGCTGAGTACCTGACTGCTTTGCCTTAGTAGGCTACTGTAACTATGAATTTAAGCCTGGAACAGCACATACTGTGCCAGCTAACAAGGGCTGAAATACGAAATTACATATGAACAACCTGAGGAAATGCAAGGGCTAGGTTTTGGAAATTCTCCAGAGAATGTGAAAAGAAACTAATGACTTTTCCACAATAAACTAAGTCCCAGTGCAACAAGGACTAATGATGTGTTTCTAAGCAATCTAAAGTTCTGTTTGATAGCTTTGCATTTACAGAGGTCGTGACTTCACCCTGAACAGAACAGCTTTGCTTCCTGATGTTTTCTACTGATTATCACTTCATTGCTTTCCCTTTTTCCATTTTTAACGGGCTACAAGGCAGCAATATTGTTAGGAAGCAGAAATCGAGGCTGGGAAGAAAGAGAAGCAAAGTGTTATGATAGATGTGAAGTTAAGAGAGTGCTTCCTTGTAAGCTCACAGACTTTGAGCTTGTGGCCATACCTTGTCTCAGGCTATTCTGTGATATCTGATGTGAGGCAAGTTTACAGAGGAATTTGGGGTTTTCCATTTTTGGCCACTGTTAAGTTTTCTCTGTCTGGAAGAATTCCATTTCATCTGTTGTCATTAGTCTGCTCTCCCTATCCCCACCATTCCTCCTAATCTTTCTTAGCTTAATCTATATCTCTTTTAACAATAAATAGCATTAATAGCCCCACAGTGTAGATGTTGATAGGGGAAGGTACTGGGTGACAGCAAATTCGATATAGGTGAATTCACTGAGCTACACTGCCACAATATTCAGCAGCAATGGGAGCACAGGATACAGCACCAGCCAGATTGGATCAGTGACTGACGGGCAGCTCAGTACATAAGAACAAAAAAACATCAACTCTGTTGAATTTTAAGGTCACAGATTAAAGGAATAGCCACTTACTTCACAGTATATTTCAAGTCACTGGCTCCATAAATAGTAAGCCAGAGTAGTTGTCTTAACACCTTATTGGAAAACCATAATAGGATTCTGACAAGGAACAGGTTGAACTGTGTGGAAAGAAGTGAATTTAAAGCCTGATAGGAACAGTTATTTCTTAATAGTCAGGTTGAAATATGCTATGCTAAAAGCAAAGTTCTGTAACAGACTGTCTCTTGAAAAATTAAATTTTAACTGCTGGTCTCATAGTGACAACACACTGCTGGATGGGTGGAGGGGGTGTTTTTTTTCTTTTCTGCTGTTGTTGGGGGATTTTTAGGGTGCTTTATTTTATCTTTGAAAAATAAAATCAATGCTATATATTCATTCATTGGGATTCTTAATTTGTAACTTATAGTTTCCACACTAGTCAGTTGCCAGCTTTTTTATTCAAGCCATCCTGTGGCTGAATTTAGCACAGGAACTTTTTAGAAAAAGACCTAGCAAGGTGTTTTTCATTCTATATGTGGGACATTACAGATGTGGTACCAGGGGTCCCATTTCAGGCAGGTTTTTGAGCCTCAGTGGAGCTCTGCCTCAGTGTCTTCCCATTGTTAAAGACTTCTGTGGGGCAGCTTTTTCTAAATACACAAAAGCAACTGTTTCCTGTTCCAATATAAAATCTCATTATAACACAGGAATATCTTTTGTTTCAGACATACAGAATTTCATTATTTCTCCTCAGCTATTTGTTCAGGAGCACATCCTCCACTGCAGAACACCTCTACTATATCAGTAGCATTTATCTTATGCATGTCCAAAAAACCATATCAGTAACTATGTCATTCAGAGTACATATACTATTGTTGTTTTCTTTGCAAGCAATAAAAAGCTTTGTCTGTCTTTTATTTCCATTCTATTTGATTCTCCCAAACTGTATAGGCCTGATACCTGGACCAATTATTTTGTTTTGCTAGACCAATGGAACACAATGGACACAACTGTGCCTCTAAATTCAGCATAAAATACACGATGTGTGAGAAGAGTGGTCTTCAGGAATAAAGCAGCATATAAATTAGCTGTCATTCAGCTCTTATGTCCTACATTCTCTTTAATGCATTAGGTCGATCTGTAGTTTGATGTCTAGAATTACAGTGGTTTATATACAAACATGTATTCCATAGCTTTATAATTTGTGGGTCTGAAAAACTCTTTCAACAATAAGAAGCATTCACTGAGGAGTTTAAAGCAGGCACTTTGCCAGGTTACTTTTCTGCTTTAAGAATTCTCTTCACTGCATCCACAAGTCATGCAGAGCATACATGACTTCACTTGATGACTCTGTTTTCCAGATTACTCCAAAAAATTTAACTGACAGCCATTACTTTTGTATTTGCTACAAGTAAATGAGCAAGTTGTAAAAGAAACACAGTTTATGTTAAATGGTGCTTTGAAGATTATACCAAGACTTTTCAAAAACTCTGATTGCTTTTGCTTAATCTTTTCTTCAGCTTTCTCCAATTAATTAGTGAAATGTGCCATCCTGTTTATTTAACCAGATGCAGTGTGGACTTTATTATTAAAACCTCTTCAACAGTAATAGTAACTTGGAAATAAACAGAAAATTTAATCAGTAAATGCAGAATGAGGACCAGAGTCTGTCATATGTCATTGACTTTTAAGCATGTTTCAGTACTGTTTGAAACATGTATTACTATTTTGTAATTTCTAATATTTCTTAGCATTTTACAAAGGTATTTTAATGCCTCTGTATGCGTGTCATCAGTGACATTGCCTAAACCATCTGATTATATAGACTTCTTAGCTTAAAATGCATTAACAAAATAAGGTAGTTTCCTCCTGGACTGGTGACTTCATTTTTGCTGGCAATTGGATAGGGCTAGATTTAGCTCTGAACTTTCACAAGAAGCTCTGGGTTAGCTGCCCAAGTGGGTAGGAAGAGGCACAAGGAATGTCTGTAGGACAGTCAGTAACCATCAGGCAGAGTCTGCTGGCAGATTTGACAGGGACCTACCTCACAAAAAAAGCCCACAGCAACACACTGAGAGGTTCAGCAGAGCTACTGGGACCCAGTTACTACCAGGACAGTCACTAGGAGAGGTAAGACAACATCCTTTCCATAAGCATGCAACATCCTTTCCATAAGCATCACCTTCATTAAAGAGAAGTTGTGTTTTCCTTGTGGACAAACAGGTTAAGTTTCAGATGGCCTCACTTTATTTCCTTGCAGAACTGAATCCCTTCACTGGAGAGATCTCTCCACAGACATCTAAAAATACAGTCTGGACTGAATGAAAACTATACTTCACTTGCTGAAGTTTGTCTGTAGAGGGAGATTAGAGCTGAAAATCTGAGACATTCTGTTCTAAAAGAATACTTGGTTTTGCTGATGTGATAGAACCTCAGGACAGTTTGTGTGTATTTTCCCCTTGCACATATTTGGGCACAAAGTATTGCAAAATATAAGACTAACATTGCTGGTTAAACCAAGCTGTGCAGTACAACCCACACATCTGCTATGCTGGCTTCTTCTCTTGGTAAAAAAATTCCCCTAACTGAGATAACCAACTTCCTAAACTGACAAAGACTCAGTGTTCTGAACATTTGGATTCAGTCATGTGCTTCAAGAAAACTGAACTCGAACAATTGCAGTGTACTTGAAATCCTTCAAGAACTCATTGATAAGAACAGTATATTTCTATCCTCTAATGGTAGACTCTGTCCACCACAAGATATATTGCTTAGTTGTGTATATTAGCTCAAGTGCCACTTTGTACCCTTATAACATAAAAATTCCCAGTACAGCTATCACTTAAGGCTCAGCCAAGACCAGGAAAGGAAAGGGAGTAGGTGCTGTTTTTTTGGGTTTTTTTTTTTTTTAAATTTAATTCAATTTATGAAATGTGTTTTTTCTTGAAAAGATATTCTGCATTTTTAAATTTTTATCTATTAAACTGTATTACAATGCCCTCTCCATGAAGAAATTCTTCCTATACTTCCCACTGTGTATACTTGTGGTTTTTAAATCCCATTTTAACAAAAGTTTTAAACAACACTTGGCAATGAAATGCTTGAATTCTAGTTTCCAGTAATTAACTACAAACACTTTCCTACATTAGTGAGTGCTACAGAGACAAGTGCAATAAAGGAAATAGAACTACATACTACTGAAGGTCTCTAAAACCATAAACCATTGATCACCCCATGATATATCAAAAAAGTCATTTGCACATTAAGAAGGGACATGAAAGTACATGCAACTGTATAAAACCTGTCTTACAGTGCCTAGATGATATGTACTTTTCCCAATTATATTAAAACTGCTGCACAACCAGCAAAGATTAAACCACGGCTTTAACTTTTATAGTCAGATGTTAAGAAATCTAATAATAATTTCAGTGCTGTTAAGATGAGATACTATCAGCACTAAAACTTCAGAAATACACTTTAAAAGGTTGATAAATTTTCAGAAGGGGAACTTCACAAAATGAGAAAGGCTGACTTGGTAGGAAGTATTTTTGGCTGAAATCTGCTGTATTTCTGCACCTGCTGTGATAAATACAGTTTATGCAAATTAGATAGGCCACCAGTTCATGACTTCTAAAGTGGTTCAGCTCCAATGTGAGCAGTAAAGTAGCAAATTTACAATAGACTGTGGTTATATATAACATGCACTCTTTCTTAAGGCCAGAAGGGACCATTCCAGTCTTTCATGGCAAGAGATCATAAAAATTGTTAGAAAATACTCTAGATTTCAGAGAACCTCATGCAGTTAAAAAAAAAATATGGGACATTACACCAGAATAAAAATAACTTGAAAAGCTCAGGATGCACAAAATTTCTTTTTGTACTGAATAGTAATATGGAATCTCCTTAACTCCTTCTAGTATTTTTTTTTTTAATACCTGTCAGGATTCAATTTTTTTTTTGTGAAGAGGGTACACTGTAGCACTGCCTTCTCTACCCGCCCATAAACCCAAATGCTCAATTCGAACTCCAGAAATTACTCCCCACCCCACTTACCAAGCAAAATGGGTCACATTCTAATTAGGAAGCAGAAATCTATTGCACAGTTAATAGAGTTGCTTCGTAATTCATCAAAGCTGTCCCAAAGAAAACAGCCTGTGTGAAAAGATGGCTCTGTCCTGTCTTGCCCCCTTTCAGTACCAAGGCTCACCTTAACTGGATGTATTAAAATAGGGAACACAGGAGACTAAGCAATCCCATTTTCATTTCCTCTGCCAAGCAATTTCTTGCCTCTTACACAGGGATGTGGGCCCTGTTTCAAATACTAGTATTTAAAACAAAAATAAAAACAATATAAACCAAAAAAAATTTCCACATCTCAAAACAGTCATTTAGTTCATAGTCCAAGTAGACTTCTGTGCCTTTCACTCTGCTGCCTTCAGAATAACACTGGAGCAGGGTGAATAGTGGTGAGGTCATCACTGTATTAGACTTAGCTAAACCAATCAATTTACTAAACAAAGCACTACACAGTGACCTGGAGGGAACCCTCATGCTTTGGAGTGACAAATGAGATGGCCAGCAGAATCTCCCATCTTAGTCTGCCTTAGCATATTACTGTTTTGTTTTTCTTATTATCAAAAGTTTTCATGGAAATCCATCAGCTCTGACATATTTTTGAGCTCTGATATCTTATGCGTTGTGAGTGGCATTTCTAAATGAGGGAAGAGAGAGATCCCAGGTTAGTGAGACTAAAAAAAACATTTTTGATTTCCTCTAATGAAAAGCAGAAAAGTTGTACTTATCTGTACATATATACATGCATTGGAAAGTGTTTTCCACCCATTCTGTTTTTCCTGTAATGCCTGTGTAAGCCTACACCTAGTTCAGAATAACCAAGGTATCCTGACAAGGGAAGGGACACAGGCGGGAACCTGGCAATCCTGAGGCTGGAATGTGCTCTGTCAAAATAGGGTCTCTCCACTGCAACAGCTGGCCTTGCTTCAAATGCATAACCTTCCTGCTAACCTACCAGAAGTAATTTTGGTTATGTAGTATCAAAATGCTCTGCATTTTTGAAAGAGGAGAAAAAAAGAGGGCGGATCCTGAAAGGGTGGATCTGCAAGTGAGAGCTGAAGTTGATGTCAGTTACCGTGCTCTTATTGAGAGGTGCTTGTTTCTGAGCAATGTGAGAAATTCACTTATTCGAGAGTGTAAGAAATGCTGGCAGATGTAAATTGCAACAATTATTAAATTTATACTTACCAATTAAGCTTGATAGCCAGAGAATATATAGGCATTCACCAAACTGAATGTGTTCTACTATGTTCCATTTGCCATACATACTGCAGAGGCTCCCTCTCAGTGGGAGTGGGCACTGCATGGATCTCTCATGCCAGAAAGATGCTCCCTGCAGACATTCTATACCCATGCCATTCAAGCGTGATATTCCTAAACTTCACAGGTATTTTTTCTTTCCACACCAAAATCCAAAGAGGAACAGTCTTGAAACCGGGAAAGCTCTTAACCCACTGCACTGACAAAGAAAGGAAGGAGAATAATGTACTTTAATTCCCAGTCAGCTGAGGTGATTGAATTGCCTGTACTCAGCTGTGTGCCCCTCCTGATCTTTGGAATGTCTGGCTGGCAGACGAGACCAAACCCAAACTCTTCCATCTGAAGGCTACCGCCCCTCCCTCTCAGCATCCTTTACCCCCAAAAGAATTGAACTGCGTACACCTTCATCCTAGGAAAGCACACCGAGAACTGCAGTAACCAAGCCTTTGCTGTACTACTCTAGAGTGCCAGTCCTTCAAAAGAGAAACGAGGTCAAATTAAGGCTTTGTGCCCTCCTGCCAAGCCCCAAGGACCACTGCGCCCCAACCCCTATGCAGCTCGCCAGGTTCCACTTCAGCAAGCTGCATCCCGCCGGCTCCAGCATTATGCGAAGGAGCAGATCGAAGATGCTCAGCAGAGCTTTTGCAAGTGTTCTCCCGTCAGGCAGGCGCCCCGCTTCCAGAGCCCTGCACTCTGCCCTTACTTGTGCTTGTCATTTTACCACAAGAGAAAGAAGATGAAGTAAGCGCCCGGCAGCCGCACCTGGCCAGGTGCTGCCGAACACTTTGCTTTCCCCCCGGCTTTCTCTCCTACCCCGCCTCCCGGCAGCGCTGCCTCCCGGAGCCTGGCTCGGTGAGCCCGGAGCGCTGGGGCAGCGCAGCGTCCCCGCCGAGGCTGGGGGCAGCTCTCGGGCACCGCCGGGCCGGGCAGCCGCTCCGCAGCCCCACAGCGGCGCTCGCCCGCCGCGGCCGCGGGGCTCCCACCTGCCGGCAGCAGGTGCCGGGCGGGCGGCGGCGCACCCCGGGGCCGGCAGAGCCCATCCTCGATCGCCGGCACCTTCGCCCATCCCGAACTTCCCACGCTGCCGGGGCAGCACCCGGCGCGCCGCTCCCCTCCGAGGCACCGCGTCACTCACCGCCGGGGCGCGGGGCCGGGGGGCAGCGCTCGCCCCGCTCTTCCATGGGCGCCCGCGGGCGGCGGCGGCGTCCGGGGGCTGCGAGCGGGGCTGCAAGCGGGGCTGCGAGCGCCCGCTGTCGCCCGCTGTCGCCCGCCTCGCCCGGCCGGCAGCGCCGCAGCCCGAGCCTGGCGCCGGCTCGTTTGTAGCGCCCCGCCCGCCCCGCGTCACGGACAAGCCCCGCCCGGCCCCGGGCGGCGAGCGGCGCCGGGCGCGGAGCGCGGAGCGCGGCCGCCCCGCCGGGCTGTGCGTGCCCGCCAGCGGCGGGGTTCGCGCGGGTCATGCTGCGGCTCCGGGGAAACGAATGGCTCCGCGCAGCGAGCGCACCTGCCCCCGCCTCCCTAATAGCTTGAGTTGGAAGGGACGCGCAAGCATCAGGGAGTCCGAGTCCTTCAATTGCCTCCTTCCTGTACTTACAAAAATACCACGCGCGCAAGGTTTCATGAATAACAGACTTGCAGTACTTGTATTTACTACTTCTTGTTTACTTTCTTGGGACTTTACAAAATGGCTCTGATTATTATTTTTT